GAACCTGCCACCCTTGGTATATGGGGCCAGCACCCCACCCACTGAACCACAGGCACTGCCAAAAAAATTTTTTTTAGACAGTCTCACTCTGTTACCCTAGGTAGAATGCCATGATATTATTATACTTCACAGCAACCTCAAACTCTTGGGCTCAAGGGATCCTCTTGAGAAGGATCCTCCTGAGAAGCTGAGACTACAGGAGCCTGCCACAATGCCCTGCTAGGTTTTCTATTTTTAGTAGACAGGGTCTTGCTTTTGCTTAGGCTGGTCTTGAACTCCTGACCTCAAGCAATTCACTTGCCTCAGCCTTCCAAAATGCTAACATTACAGGCACAAATTTTTCATTAAATTAGAAAGCATGATTTTATTTTCAAGGTTTTATTCTATTTTCATAATAAAACACCCTGGCCCTAAGGAAAAAAAAAATGTTTTTCCTGTGTGGCAATGTGTTAAGTCCAACCCACACTAGCTATTTTAGAGAGGACCCATGGGTGGTAGTTGAAGCACGGGATGACCCTTACTGCCTGGGCAGTGATGCCAGCTGTAAGCAGTGGGTATAGCCAATCAGGTATGGACCGGCTACCCTCATCCTTGAAGCCAGGTGCTACCCCCACTTTCAGATCAGAATCTTCCCATCACAGGACCTGTGTGCTGGGAGGTTGCTGGATGCTTGAGTATGGGAAGAAGATGGTATAGGGGTAGGCCCTGCCCCCTCATATTGTCCTGCCCTCTGAGAGCCCTCAGTTCAGGGGTCCTTCACTTGTCCTCAAGAACTAAGATAGATGTTGACTCCCCTTAATTCATTTAATTGTATAGATATTGGACCAGGTTATAGACGTAGAGCAATAACAAGATAAACACTTCCCTGGCTGTATAGTACAACAGTACTGTTTAATGTCTATTGCATACTTCTACCTGGTAAGCCTTGTGTTAATTATTTCACATATATTATCTCATTCAGTCTTTACCCAACCCTTTTACAGGGAAGGAAACTGAGGATCAGGGGAATAAATGACTTGTCCAACATGACATAGCTAACAAGCAGTGAAACAAATCTGAGTCTACACTCTCACTCCTTCTCTAGGTGACAGTCTAACCTATGAGATCAGGAAGAGTGGAGAGGAAGAAGCAGACCTGGATGAATGGATTGAGGTAATGGAGAAAGTGTTACCTCTCTCCCTCACTGCCAACAAAGGAGGTATCCAGTCACTCATTTCCCTTTGCTCCACTCTCATTGAAGAACAAAAGAAAAAGGCACAAAGTAGGTTCCAGGGCACCTGGTGGGGGGAGCTGGGTGGGGATGAGTGGATCTGGTTTCAAGGGGAGAAGCTAGAGGCTGGGTCTTAGGGGTCCTTTTGACCCTCCTCCATACAGAAGCTTTATTTGAGGTGGACAGGCAGTGGTGAGGGGCTGAGGTGTTGAACCCAGGCTAAGCACTCTAAGTCCTGAGCTATCCCTCAGGTTTGGAGGTAGGCATGATGTGAAGGTCCTTGCGAGGTATTCCCCTGAGCTGTGACCTCATGTGGGTTCTGTGGAACAAGGATAGAAGGCAGAAAGGCTGAAGTTTGTAGCTAGGGCCTGAGGACCATCCTTTCTTCACTCTAAACCCAGCTGTAGAACCAAAGTAGTTTGGGAAGGCTCAGCCGGAGGCTCCTCCGAGAGCCATGTCAATTATGGCTGCCCCAGAGGTGGCCAGTCCATAACATGGCTGAGCCTTGGGAGCTTACTCCCATCAACACTGGAAGAGACCTGAGATTATCAAACTCCTGCATTTTGTAGATGAGAAGATGGAAGCTCAGAGAAGAGAAGGGACCACAAAGAAAGCTTGTGGCAAGGCCAGGTCCCACACTTAGGTTTTCTAGCTTCTTTTTTTTTTTTT